TTCCAAGTCAATATATCGTCGAAAGTATTTCATTTTGTAAGAAAAGAAAAAATACGTGTCTAAAGTTTTAAATTAATCTACCAGACGGGCATTAAAATAAAATTTAGTATACTACCCTATTATATTAAAAGGATCTGATCGTATTCAAACTCAAACAGGTCGTGAGAACAACAAAATGTATTATACAGCTGTATGTAAGGTATCCCATCAGGTGACAACTTGGCTGCGCAACCAAAGCAACTAATATTTAAATGTGTTCTAAGCCATTCTCTGTTCCTCTATGGATGTAGTGATCTTACCTGAGCCATTCTTTCCATATGTATGATCATAAGTAGGTCCAGTTTGCAAAAAGGAACTAGGTGTCTTTTTATTTAGTCTCCTCCAATCGAAATCATGTAGTTCGTCAGGTTTCCACCCACACAGGTCTGGCCGCTCGAAGTCACATTCCGTTGACACTTTTGCTGAACTATCTGTAATTTATTTGTATAAAGCAGCATTGAGTATACGAAACATTAGGCTACATAAAACATAAGTCTTTTTTTTTAAACATAAGTAACTTAGTACCTAAGTAGTTTCATTTTGAAAATGCAATTTGTATTGCATGTTAATTGTTAATTTGTACTTGGTTCTTTTTTATTTCTTTTTATTAATTATTAAAATTAATCGCGATAATATTTAGATTTTTTTACTGCATTTTAGCAGCCAACATTTTTAAATTTCAGAATTTGCGCCAATTATTTTGTGTTGCCAGTCTTCAGACAAAAATTACCCCGATTCCGGGTTATTTGTTAATTTATTTTCAGAACAAGGCAAATCAAATCTTACAAAAAAATTAAATTAAATATAATAGGTATATGAATTCTAAAGTACCCACGTCGCTGAATTGGTGTCCCTACAAGACAAATTAACCTCTCGATCATGTGCTGAATGTTCGTTAGAGACAGATTGCAGGAAAATAAAAAAAAAAGATAAATGAGTATATAAAAATATAAAATTGTCATTTTACCAAGACATCCAGGCACAGTTGAGTTCCATTTGGATCCATCGCAGTACACTACTGGTGAACCTATGAGTTGATGACCGGGCAAACAGAAGAAAACTATCCACGCATTATTGTGATATGTCATATTTACAGAATTCTTCACTTCTTCTAATTGTGGGCAGCCCGATTCTTAAAAAGATGATAAAAATAGTCATACATTTTTAAAACTGTTTAAATTCAGTTATATGGGATAAATTGGCGGTTTTATAAATACTTACTGACACAAACAGGTGCAGGGACATCCCATTGGCCAAATCTGCACGTGGCATATTTGTTGCCAACTAAGGTATAACGAGGAGAACACGAAAACTTAATAAATGTCCCCCTTTGCCGTGGCCGTGCTCGACCATTTTTTATTCGACGCATCGGACATGATGAAGGTGAGTAATAAAAATCTATAAAATAAGACAACAATGAACAGATTTATTAATTAATTAATAATAAACAGATTTCAGTACATAATGAATTAAGAAAAATATTGGATATAGTTAAATGTTTACCAAAATTTATATTTTCCTTCTGGTTTTCCGACTTTCATAAAAACTTTATTCTTTATGTATTTTACAAAATTATCTAACTATTAAAATTTTTAAAAAAATTATCTATGATGTCTTATTTTCATTGCGGTTTGTAAGACTGGCTCTTAGTTAAAAAATGTTGCATATTTATATGAGATCATCTCAATTTTAGTTTTTCATTCTTAGGGACTCAACCGCCTACGCTTTTATTTCCATGAGGACGGAAGTTTGATGTCACGCATACAGTCAAGAGTATGCGTCCGGCTGATAAAATTTATAAACCATGTTTTTAATGCATGTACATATAAATTAATATTATTGTTTATTTATAAAGTACACCTAGGAATTATGCTCTAGAACAATAGTAATATTTATAGTAAAACTAGAAAATTATTTGCCACATTGTTTGGATAATGTTGTCCTTATCTTTTAGAGGTGGGCAATTGTGGTTACCAATTTGGTTTCATATTATCAATGTTATTACAAAGTGGAAAATATGACATTATCTTCTAAGTTTTCATTAATAACTACGCATTACATTCTAAATAAAAAATATAATAAGGCAATTATTTACTAATCTTTATTATATTTAATTTAGTTTCATTGAATATCTATTATCTTTAGAAATGTGGGTAAAATACACCAGTAACGTTAGTCAAACATGTTTTATTTTCCTGCTAATTATTTTACATTTGATAACGTAATTTTAACTACATGTGTCGCAATTAAATAGGGATGTCTCGTTGGTAATAAAATATTATTTCCACTTATAAATCTATTTGAATATTTAAAAATAGTGGTACTCTGGTTAAATTATTTAACATTTAGCTAATTTATAAGAAATACATAGTAAAGTTGACGCAAAAATACTACGACGTCACAGCCCAGCAATTCCTTAAAAAAGCCATAAAAGCTTATCGATTTTGACTTCCTTGGTCCTTATTAATGGCCTGTTTTGTAAACAACTAATATACAAATTACTACGAAAAACACATTAATAAACTGTTCAGTTATTACACTGAAATATCAATGAGTTTGTATGTAATAATCAAAATGCACAATAATCAAAATCCACGAAAAAATAATTGGTTACTTTAATTGATTACATATTCTTATTCATGACTCTAAATGTTCAACTTATAGTTCCCGTGGTTGAAAGACTTTAAAAGCTAATTGATCAAATAAGATTTACTTTACTATGTACTATGTCGGATACCTACTCCGTTTGCTTCCGACTGGCCTATCTAAAATCATTGGGAGAGGCTTATATTCAGCAATGGACGACTTATGGCTAATAATGAAGCAGATGACGTTGATAGAATGCACTTGTGTTAAAATCAAATAATCGAATGAATAAACAAAAGCCGTCTATATTTAAAGTATCCTCAACCAATGGCCAATGAACAAATTTCGAGGCATCAGTTTTAGCAAATTGTTTTTAGTTTAATAACTTTATCATATAAATATAAAATCTTTGACGATAAATCACTTAAAGTAATTTATTAAAATGCTAAACTTATTGCAGTTATACCTAGAGCAAAGGAGTTAAGCAGACTGTTTCGGACCGAGCCCAAATTTTTTAATCAAATTTTTGCCCTTTAATGACACGTGATATACCCACATTATCATTGTGAACGGACATGAATGAGATAGCAACGGATGTGAACAGTAACCAAAAATCAGTCACTGTATTATCAAATACTGAAAATGGTACTTCAGTTTTATGTAATTATTCGTTATATTAATTAAAATGATTAAATATGCAAGTTCTGTACAACACAGAAATATTACAGTATTATCCATGGGTGTTAATGAAATGAATATTATTTCTTAACAAACACTGATAAAGGAAGAAACGGTTAAAAATTAGGTATGTTAAGTGATGCCGTTAAATCTAATACCCATACTATAAAAATACAAAAATGTGCCACTATAGTCGGTAAATAAACCGATTTAAAATTATTAAATTGAGTTATTGTTAATTAACTAGATTGTCTAAATATATCACATACAAGGAAACGTATTAATCAAAGTGAGATAAATAAATACTAATAGTTGGAAAAATTTTAAAACTACACATTTAAATACAAACTTTGGTAAATAAAACTTACCTGCTTCAACAAAACTGAGTACAAATAACAATAATAAACACTTAAGAAACATTTTGCACTTAGAACTACTACAATATAACACAAATATTAATTTTTTACTTTAAATAAATCAAAAATAAATAATTTTCATGTTACTTTATATTTCTGGACTAGACTGCATATTATTGGGTACACATTTTAAATGTGGGTTTCATTTATATTGTTCGTGTTATTCATATCGCTCCCGACAAAGATTAAAAGTTACGAGCGCAGTTTGGTGCCTACCACAGTCGTTCCTAAATATGATTGCACTGTACGATTGATTTTACCCAAAGAATACTAAACAAAACCAAAAACCTTTTTTATTTCATAAAGATCCTGGTTTCTTAATGTAAATATAAAAATTTTTTTGGAAAACTTTAATTATTATATTTATATTATTTATATAATTATAAAATTTATATTTTGAAATTTTTTAACCAGTTAGGTAGTAAGTAAGCCATATACTTATACGAACTGCACTTCAAACAATCAAATTCATGAATAAGTAAACGTAAATTAGGTATAAACCCAATTTTCTCTGTACAACATTTCTGTAATTTTTATAATCTTTGCTCTGCACGGGATGTACATTTATCAGGGGCGCTTCCTTTAGACTTTCCACCGATATTCCATTGAATACTATCTGACCATGGTATTTTGTAAAAACAGATTAGTTTATGCTAAAGCCATTCATTTGTATTATCATAACAACATGTTTATTAACAATACGTAGTGAATCATTTCGTTTTTTTTGTAGATTCCGGATAAATGTGTCAGTCAGGATAGGATATGATAATGCAATTCCGGTAGAACTTTTACGTAATGGGAAAAGAAATTAAAGCAAGCAAAATAAATACAAAATCCACTATATAATAAAAAAAAATGCTAATATAATAATGTAATAATGTAATCAATCGCATGTTACTATCGTAGTGATTCGAAGGTAAGGTGCCAGTGCCACGCTTTGAAGTATGAGTCATCATTGTCAGCAGGCAGTTGATCACCCCTTACCCTGTAATTGTCTTATTGCTCTTCTAACACGAAGAAGGAATATAAGGATTATCCGCGACGCAAGCGAAAAAGCGGTTCCAAAGATTTAATTTTAAGTTCAGGTGCAAGACTGTTACTTGGAAAATATCGTTATCCCGACACGATCTCTCTGTCCATATTTTGTTTTTATTGTTTACTAGCTGACTCGGCAAACTTCGTACCGCCTAAAAGTTTTTTCTCACCTTTTAAACCTTCCCTAGACTTCCACGAACCTATCAAGACCAAAATTAACCAAATCAGTTCATCCGTTCTCGAGTTTTAGCGAGACTAACGAACGGAAATTCATTTTTATTTATATAGAAATCATTTTCTACATTCAATTTTACTATTCTATGTCTTTTCCTTTAATAACGTGTCACTTCAAAGTCATAATGATGCTATCATAATAGGTGATGGTAATCAGACTTGTCAAAATCAATATTTTGAAGTTTGGAATTATAGAATAATATTTTATAAATTATGGGGTAATTTACTTTATCCGATGGTAACATTAACATTTGTATAATGTCAACTGAAACCTACGCGTTCCAATTTTCCAGTTGTCCAGTTCACACATTATACATCTTCTATCTCACCTAAACTGTGTGAGTAAAAAAGAGACAACAAATACTACAAATGCTGTATTTTAATCTAATTGATATTGTTGGCGATGGAATTATTCACTGTTTACGATTGTTTGAAAACAAAGTAAATTGTAAAATGAAACTGAATCATTACGTTGTTTTTATTTTTATTTTGTGATAAACTTATTTAAAAATCCGTTAAATATGAACAATTTGTGCAGAATTTGTTTAAAAGTTTCTGATGGAAATATGCAAAACGTGCAAGAAAGTGTAATTCTTTTTAAAATTCGAACATTTCTAACGATTGAAGTAAGTTAGTTTGTTTTTTTTACAAGTTTTAACGCCTAATTTTTTTTTTATTGATCATTTTATTCCATAAAGATACTCAATGACCGATTACTTGAAATTTTATTCTTATCATCGTCGTCATATCAGTCAACAGACGTCCACTGTTATAAACAAAGGTCTACTCCAGTGACTTCCAGGTCGGTCGTTTGGAAGCGATCTGCGTCCAGCGCGGCTCCCTGCGACAGTTATAGTAGTAGTCTTCCGCTTATTTTGGAGGTTGATATTATAGTGCTGCACTTGTTCATAATATCTATTTCAAACTTATACATAAAAATAAACCAAGCATTCATAATGTTTTGGTATATCTAATAAGTTACATAACATTACGCCTTTTTAACCCTGAAGGGGTAGGCAGAGGTGCACATTGCAGCACTTAGTGCTACTGCAATGTAACACCCACTTTTCACTATTTATGTTATGAGTCCCATGTAATAAGGTGAGCATATTACCATATACCAGGCACAATTTCAGACTCCATGCTACCACTGATATAAAAAAAAAACCACTAATACTTTGCCCGACCTGGGAATCGAACCCGAGACCCCTTGCCCGGCACTCACACTTGCGACCACTCGGCCAATGAGGCAGGCTTCTTAAGTTTTCCACTCATAAAGTAATTGAATTTCCCATAATATGTAAATGGTCTATTTTATTTCAGATATCAACAGAAAATTCATTGCCCAAACAAATATGTAAAGAATGTTCTAATAAAACAACAGAATTGTATCAATTTTGTTTAAGTATTCAAGAAACTGAAGCCAAATTAAAATCATATTTAAAAAATGGGTGTTTACAAGAATATTATTCTAATTTAATAAATAATATAGATTTTAAAGATGAAAAGACTGATATTGTATTTTGTGAGAATAATGATGTTAAAACTGAGACTGAGGACACCTATTGTGAGTTAGCAGAAACAAACAAAAATGTAATTGAAAACATAGATAAATGTAAAAATTTAAAACAAGAATTTTCCATAGATGATATTCAAGATGATCATTACAGTTCTAATGACGAATTAACACTAGCAACTATAAAAAGTATTAAAAAAGAAGAAAACCTTACAGAAAACAAAAAAAAAGTAAAAACAAAAAAGAAGTTAGAACAAAAGACTAAAGAGGAACTGTCCAATAATTCAAATACTTCCACAGATAATATAAAACAATTTACTTGTTTATCTTGTTTGAAGATATTCGAAGCTCAGAACAGCCTTATACAGCATTATCATGCTGAACATTTGAAAAAAGGTAAAAATTCATCTGTGAATTATTCTGAATGTAATTTGGATGGAAATATTACGTACAGTTGTAAAACATGTGAGCATACATGTAATATAAAGAAAGATATAATAAAACACGTTGCCATTCATTTTGATGAGAGACCTCTGATTTGTAAACTTTGTGGTAAGTTCAACAATTCTTTTTACTATTCAATTGCAAAGCGGTCGCTGGTGACCGATCTCCATTATAGACCTTATTTCCGATGTTTAAAGACTACTTTTGTATTAACTTATTTTGGAAATATTCGGTATGATATATCAACATATTAAAAATAGTTATCTAGCCAAACAATAGTCTGGAGACACTAAAGTGTACCCTGGCCTGGATCATAATTGAATAAATAAAACATACAAATTAAATATAGCCAATGCAATCTAAACTCATTATCAAACAACAGAGTATATATTCTAAAAAATCATGATCTATATCAATGATACTATCTTCAGGATGTCCACTACTGAACACAGGGAGACCAATGACTTTGAAACCATATCTTTAATGATTAACTTAACTGTGAAGTTTGTCTTAAAAAAAGTTGCAAACAGCCAATGAGATAGATATTTCTCTGATTTAACTGATCCCCGAACTTGTCTGCCAAGCATGGGGATTATGACCAAACGAGGCGAAGGACCAACTCTTAATCATATTGATACCTCTGACACCTACAGTGTTCAAACTCAGACTGACGATGAAACAAATTCTTCACAGGTAGAACTTATAAAACAGTTCCAGAAATCATCCGTCACTCCAGGGTCCATAATGGTCTAAAACTTCAATGTTCATACAAGTGTGGCTACAGTACTGCTTACCAAGGAGCTTTGAAGGAGCATGAAAATAGACACCAGAATGTCTATAAGGTATGTATTACAGGTGAATAGAAACAGAAGAGCGGTGAGGGGTATTGGTATTCTTTACAGTACCTATCATTTTACAGTAGGTACTTTTATAAGGGACACTGGCCTCTCTCATGATTCCATTCTAAAATTGATTTTTCAAAAATTTCTTAAAAGCCTCGATGACATTGTCTCAAGCCTGAAATACCTACCCGGGACCGGAGACTAGATGTCACTGTATGTCAGTGAAGGTAAACATTGTGAGGAAACTCAAACTCGTCAATCCACCTTGAGCAAGCGTGGTAATCAATGCTCATTCCTTCTCTGTGTGAGAAGAGTACTATTCTCAACAGTAGGATAGTTATAGGTTGACAATGATGATTAATAATTCCAAACTATGTTTTTTTCAGTACACTTGTGATAAATGTGGTGTTGGTTTCCACGTGAAGACTTGGTATGAACAGCATCAGAACATTCATACTGGACTGAAGCCTTATATCTGTGATATTTGTGGTCATGCCTTCCATATGGCCAGGTAAGAATAGAATAATCTTTATTGTACACCATTAATAATATACACATCTATTGGTCCACCTAATTTCGTTTGGTCCTAGCTAAAATTTTATATTAAGTCGAGCAAAAAGTTTTTATGCAGTTTTGTACCTGGCACATACATAATTTCATTCAATAGTGTTTCAATTTCGAACACAGAATTTAAAGAAACAAAAGACAATTTGGAGCCTGTTTGTTGATATCAAACAATCGAATACTAAGAAAATGTCGAATGGTATTCTGAATTCAAATTTAAAACAATACGATCGAAAAAGAAGGTAAAATGTATTAGGTTTAAAACTGCATCAACAGTTTTTGTTTAATATAGCAATCATATTTCGGTAGGGGCTATCGAAACCTAAACTCTAAGGTGGGCCAATAGATGCGTCTAGAAGTGTAGTAGATACAGAAAAAGGGAAATGACAAACATAAATTAAAAATAATAATGGGCACAAAGGCGGTTTTATCACTTATAGTGAGTTCTACTAGACAACCTTTGGGTGGATTTAATGCAAAAGAAATATTTAAACGGGTTGTGTGCTACGAAAATAAATAAATAAAATAGTAACATTTCTCATAAGTGTAGCAGTATTCAGTATTCCTGCACAGGCAGTTCTTGGTGTGATCCATAAATTGTTGTTCCGAGTCTGGATGTTATGTGTATGTGAAATTATATGTTTGTAAACGCACCACAACATGGGAGAAAATCCAAGTGTGGGGCAACTTTTAAAGAAAAGTCTCTCACAACTAACGCTTCTCCAAATCCCCCTCCGAACCTGTTTTTGCAAATAAATAATCCTTATCTTTTCTCTTTTTCCATTCCCTATCCCCAAAGGCCTGCGACACATCAATTGTAATTTCGTCTTGCAACGGTTCACAGGCGTCGCCATTGCTTACCACCAGATGCTCATTCCTGCCCTAATCCTGCCCTAAAAATGTTTCCCAACAATTGTTCTGCCTTGGTGAACGTTTACTGCTGCACTACGGGCTCCTTTTAAACTCGAATCTTCACCTCGTCCGCCAAGCATGGTTATTATGGTAAAGTATCTATAAAAGTATATTAATACTAGCTGACCTAGCAAACTTCGTACCGCCAATACGGTAGTTGACAACTAGTCAAATTCAATACCTTTATTGAAATGTCGAAAACGATACTTTTCTATGAATTTTGTATTGGATCGCTACTTATGACGTCATCATAATTATTTTTGCGTCAAATAGCATACTTATTTCCTTAAAATTAGCGAGAAAAAATCCAAAAGTAGATAAATCGTCATATCAATGGATGAAAGTATGATTATTTTTTAATTATTTATTGCATTGAAAAGTTGAAACAATTTATTTTAAACCTAACATACTAGCCAATTCTTATTTTCTCACCTTTTAAACCTCCCGTGGACTTTACGAACATTTACAGACAAAAATTAGCCAAATCGGTTCAGCCGTTCTCGAGATTTAACGCGACTGACGAACGGAAATTCATGTTTATTTATACAGATAATATTTTTCGATAATTTCAGATACCTGTCAGCCCACAGGAGTTTGAAGCATCCGCAGTCGTCAAACGTGAAGCGATATATCTGTGTGCATTGTGAACACAAGTGCGATAGTGCCAACAGTCTTGCTCTGCATATGGAGGTGATTTCATAAATCTTTTTTTTTATGGAATAGAACACAAACGAGCAGACGTATCACCTGATGGTAAGCCATCAGCGCCGCCCATGGACACCGCAACACCAGAGGAGTCACAGGTGCAGCCGGCATTTTAAAAAGGAATACGCTCTTTTCTTGAAGGTTTGAAGGTCGTATCGGTTCGGAAATACCGTTCGAAATAATAAATAATCTTATTTTTCTATCACTAAAATATTATTATGTATTATGCGTTTGACCTATGATGACAGTATGGTCAACGTTAATTTAATATTATTTGGTTTGTATTGCTCATGTTATTTTCTATTCATAACTTTTAGTATTTTTTTTTCCACAAATAGTTATTTTGAGTCTGAGTGTCATGTGTATGTAAACTTAGATGTCCCCCCCCCAATCCCCAATCCCCACAATCCTTAATTTCCCAACCCTCAAAAGGCCGGCAACGCCCTTGTAACGCCTCTGGTGTTTCAAGTGTCCATGGGTGGCGCCAATTGCTTACCATAGTCGTTACCGGCATTTTCCATAAAAAAAAATTGATTTAGGTTCACCTAACGGTCCGATCGAAGAATTGGTTGTTTAGATTCAAAGAGACTAAATTATATTTATCTCATTTCAGCAACATGGGATAAACAAAGAAAAGGAATTTCTTTGTGACTTCTGTGGCAAGATACTCGCTAGTGCTGATCAATTGAAGTATCATCATCGCATGCATTTAGGAGTTAAACCTTATTCTTGCAGGTAACTATTTTTTTTCTGATGTTTAAGCCCCATTTGCGCAAAAGTTTTATTATCGTCGCGTTAAATTTCGGCGTTGGTAGGTATGTATGCAATTTAGTCTTTAACGCGCAAAGCCCAGCGTTGAAAATGCATCACACCTCGATAAAAGCGTCAAGTTTTAAAAGTGTTGACGTCTGAACATATCTTAATATATATAAATCTCGTGTCACAATGTTTGTCCTCAATGGACTCCTAAACCACTTAACCGATTATAATAAAATTCGCACACCATGTGCAGTTCGATCCAACTTGAGAGATAGGATGTCTATTTTTCATTAGGGTACAGTAGAATAGGGTAGAGTAGAGTAGGGTAGACTAGGGTAGAGTAGGGTACAGTGGGATAAAGTAGGTTAGAGTATTACGAGGTAGGAAGTTCGGCGGGTCCTCTCTTTGCATCTCTGCGGTATCAAATCAAAATGCTCAAAGCCCGATATCATGGCCTGAAACACAGGTTTAAATTAAACTAGATCGGGCAGTTCACTATCAATATACCTTTATTGATATTTTAATTTTAGTATATTCTTAAGCACTGACTCGTTGGCCGACTGCCGGGCAAGGGGTCTCGGGTTCGATTCCCGGGCCAAGCAAAGTATTACTGGGTTTTTGAAAAATTCTCAGTAGTAGCACAGAGTCTGGAATTGTGCTCGGTATATGGCAATAGCTTCACCCCCTATTACATGGGACTAATAACATAAATAGTGCAAAGTGGGTGTTACATTGTACAGAGGCATAATGTGCACCTCTGCCTCAAAAAGGCGTGATGTGATGTGATGTTATGTTATGTTATATTCTTAAGCACTGTTTTGTATTTTTATATCTAGTAATAAGAAACCCCGCTACTGTTAATTTAATGTTCTAAACATTTATTCCAATAAGCAAATTTATTAAGAAAATTTACACCTACCTATCTGGTCCACAGTATATGCAACAAAACATTTGCAAAGAAGTTTAATGTGAAGATCCATATGAGTTCTCACAGTGGGGAGAAGACTCACGCTTGTTCCCGATGTGGCAAGAGATATACACAGAGAAGCACGCTGTTACGACACTTAAAAAGGTATTATTATAACTTTTTAACGAGGAAAATCATGCAATGACTTCTCCCGCCTTGGGTGAGTCGAGAGGGAGCGTCAGACTCTTATTGGTAAACGTCCCCCTGTTCCTACTCCTGCAGTCCTGCTCTTCGAACTGGAGCCCCGGTAATCCGTTAAGTCTTCCGCGGCTTCATATCGCACATCAGCCCTACTGGGCCCCATATGATGGTCTGATGGTAGTTCATGTTACATAATTCATCAACATTGACCAGAGTCCAATCAATCTGACAACTGTATTATCATCATCAACATGAACTGGCAGACCTCCAAACAAAGGTCTTCACATTGAAGCCGGTTTGCACTAATCCCCATGCTTGGTAAACAGCGTGGTGATTATGAGAAAGCTGTTACCCGCCTTTCAGCAGCTAGCCGCAGTTTTGAGATATGTTATAATTACGTACGTATTTAGGGGATGAGCCAACCCAAGCCTAGTAATTAGCTACCAACCCAGTACCAAGAAGTAAAGATGGTAATTTTTGTATTTTATTGTTTCAGACATCATGGTGGTGCATCGCCAAAACGTTCAGAATAATCTGGTTTCACCACTAGAATTACAATATAATAAATAAGTAATCGATAAAGTGTTATCCGTCAATAAATAAGTACCATGCATAGCACTATTGTTTTGTATTTCAAACTGACTGACCTATATTACAGTCACTTATTCCAAAGTAAAGTAATAAGATCGAAAATCTATTAACAACTTAGCGACTGGATTTTGTCGTTATCAATGTCTAGACTACCAGCCCTGGGCAGGATCCTTAACATAATGCACATTACGGCACTTAATGCTACTGTACAGTGTAACACCCATTTTTCATTATTTATGTTATGAGTCCCATGTAATAGGGGGCGAGCCTATTGCGATTCCAATATACCAGGCACAATAGGGTAGATGCCTAATTTTTATTTTAATGTCCGTCTGGTAGATTATTCTAAATCATTAGACACATATTTTTTATTTTCTTACAGAAACGAATATTTTCGACGATATATTGATTTGAAATGTCGCGTGACGTCACTTCTATGTACATTTTATACGTAGAAATTACGTTTTAACCCCCACTCCTAACTTTAATTCGTTTTATATAAGTATTGTTCTATTATACGACAAAATCAAAAAATAAGTGTCTAATATTTTTTCATTACTTAACTTACGGACTAATTATATTTTTAATTTTCATAGCCTGTCATCATTTCAATTCCAGACTCGGTGCTACTACTGAGAATTTTTTTGTATGTAAGAAGAATTAGTTTCAGGTAATGTATCAAATGTCTTCCAAATTAACATTATTCTCCATTTTATATGTCATGTCGCTTGAAAAAATTAAGTAAAACGCGTATTGTTTTCCGGTTTACAAATTCAGGTTACTAAACGCAATCTGTCAAATATGAAAACGTCAAATCTTGAAAATATTATTGTTGACTTGGGGTCTTGTTGAGTTATTGAGTGATTTTGTTATGTTTTCGTTTTACTTTGTGAAATAACAATTATGTTGTGAAGTTTAAATGCATACGTATTATTTACTTCTTCCTACACGTCCGTATAAACCTGCTAAAATCGAAACCCTTAGAATACTAATATGGCGGAAGGATCTGATATAATAATTCTTCATAAGATTTTAATTACCGCTTTTGTTATAACTTTCGTGTACAATTATTACACTGAATATGGGATTACAATAATAGAGATTGAAAATCCTACATTTAGTCTTCTGGGACCGTTCAACACAACACAAATTGTTGCGGACGATAACTATAATCAATTGATAGATATTGACCAGTTTACCTTTAAGATAAACCCTCAGCCGTGCGAAAACTACTCAGCTGGGTTCTTGCTAATGATAATTGTAACTTCAAATCCAAGTAATTATGAAAACCGTGAGGTTATACGTAATACCTGGGGTAAAAATCAAGACTCCACAAAAGTAGTGTTCCTGGTTGGGGAATCTGAGAATATTAATATTACAAATCAAATAACCAATGAAAGTAAATCATTTGGGGATATAGTACAAGGTAGTTTCATTGATGCATATAGAAATATGACTTATAAACATGTTATGGGTCTTAAATGGATAGTTCACCATTGTCCGAAAGCTAAATACATTTTGAAGGCTGATGATGATATCCTGGTGAATTTGCCTCAAATGCTGCGATTTCTGAGTAGGGAATTGTCTCCGTGGGGCGCTAAGGATCTAATTGCTTGTCGTGTGCGTGAACATACCAAAGCTTTGAGATACAAATCTAAATGGCAGGTGACTGAGAAGGAATATGCACCTGAATATTATCCAACCTATTGTCCTGGTATGTCATTTTATTTATTTAATTATTTACACTTTGCATAATGAGTATACAATGGCAGACTTAATACCTAGTGGCATTGTCTAACAGTCAACCTTAAAGTGATGCAGAGACACAATAGTAGGTGTAAAAGTTTAACATTTTTGATCATTAATGTATATAATTATACAACATAAACAATACAATATCTATATATATTACAATATATACGTACCTAATGTACAACTAACAGTAGACAAATATGTAAGTATAGGACGTATAAATACCTAGATTTATTTAAAATAATATGATATATATATATAATTATACACAAAAATACATGAATATATAGGTAGGTAGGGTAAATATATGACCTAAGTGTGTGTTGAGTCTGCTAGCCTCTTCTGTAGATGCTCACAAACCACAGGAAGGACAATCCACTGGTCACGGTCCTGATATCTGCGGGTAGCGCATACCACAGCAAGATGGTTTTCACGAAAAAAGAAGAGTGAAGGAAGTTAGTTTGATGTGTGGGACATTGTAGCTGAAGATTATTAGAAGAACGGAGGTATTTGCTGTGGTTTGCGCTTATATACGGGAAATAGGGGGAAAGATAAGTAGGAGACGTGGGAGAATTAAGAAGGGAGAATAAAGTGGTTAGCGCCCGTTGTTCCCTGCGCTGACGTATGGGCAACCACTTTAGTTGTAATCGAAATGCAGAGACATGGTCGTATTTGCGCAGGTTGAAGACGAATCGAATGCAGTTATTCAAAAGGCGGTCAAGTTTTTTGAGCAGATCTGCATTCAGATCGAAAAAACACACATCAGCATAATAATGGGAAAAACCAAGGACTGGACAAGCATTATCTTAGCAGAGGACGGAAGAAAGTTCCTTAAACGATACGGGGTCCGCAGCGTCCCAGTGACCCGTTGGCATATGCTAGTGACATGAACACACCAGTTTAAAATGCTGTCAACATGCAAGCTAAGAACTTCTTACCATATTCGCCTGACATTTATTCCGGTTTACAGCTATTCCAAACTTCGCAGACCAATTATTCCTAGCAATTTTGAAGGCTGTCCAATTCTCCTCGGTGCGATACCTCTTGTTGCCCCCCGGCCACAAACCTCAAGAAATATATATTCCGCAGCACATCCAGGAGATGATGTGAAGACAGTTTTGTAAAAAATTCGCTGCACAGATATATGGCCACACCACCCCCTCGTCCCTCAGTGCGGTCATTACGAATAAGAACATATCCAGTTAACGAGTAGGTGATGGTAATTGAGGCTTGAACCAGGTTTCGGATATCAAGACGGCATGCACATTGCTGTTGTTAAATGACTCGTAGAGATCATTATAGTAACTAGGCACACACTGGGTATAATGTGGCATACGTTCAACAAGCGACGATTTATTTATTTATTTACACTTTATTATATACCATACAAACATAAAGAGAAAAACGATCGAAAGAAAGACGATCTTGATTATGAAATTGTCATTCTAGTACTGATTTTCTAATTTATTACGATTTTCCTGTATAATTTTATATTACAATGTTTAAATATATTTACTTATTATTCTGTTATTAAATTATATAAAAGTATAGATTAAATGTTTGACTTACGCACCACCGACTTTGCCGTCGGGAATAAAATGTGATATTAACATACAATTATTGTTATTCCAGGTTGGGCTATCATATACTCACAAGACGTAGTCCCTCGATTGCTAAAAGTAGCCCAAGACCTACCGTACTCACCGCCCTGAGGACACGGTGGAACAACCGCCCTGAGGACACGGTGGAACACACGGTCGGAGAATGCCCTTCGTGGGCTGAGCACCGCCGTGTCCTCAGGGAAGTGATCGGCGATGGCGACCTCTCGCGTCCGGGCCTAGTGCAGGCCATGATGCGGAGCGAGGGGGATTGGGATGCCGTCTCCTCCTTTTGCGAAGCAGTCATGCTAGCTAAGGAGGAGGCGGGACGCGTGAGGCAGCGAAGCGCTGCCTCCTCGCAACCCAGCCATCGCGAAGGACACACCGGGCGTCGGGGATCGCGGGACGATCTCCGGCCACCGTAAGCGCGGGCCTGCGGACGGCGAGCATGGGTGGCTCCCCGTCCGACCAGAAACAGACCCGAGCGTACGGCGCGTCGCGTTCCGCGCGCGCCTCAAAGAGCCATCAGACCACCACAGATGGGGCCCAATAGGGCCGATGCCGATTCGGAGTCGCGGAGAACCTAACGGGTAACCGGGGCTCCGGCTCGACGTGCAGGAGAAGGAACGGGGTGGTTTTTAGTCAGTAAGAGTCTGACACTCCCTCCCGCCTCACCCAGGCGGGGGCAGTCATTCGATGATTTTCCCCCCTTAAAAAAAAAAAAAAAAAAAAAAGACCTACCGTACTTCTGGATTGACGATGTCCACATAACGGGAGTTATCGCCGAAAAAATTGATGTACCTCGCACACAACTCGCCAGTTTTATTTTATCTACTATTAGTATCCAAACGCTTAAAGCCTTAGGACCTAAATATATCCAGCAATTTATGTTTAGTCCCCCAGATATGAGTTTAAATCAAATAACGGATATTTGGAAGTTGATCTCGGAATATAAGTATTAATTTTATACTTAAAAGTTAAAGTTTATAACATTTCCAAAGGTTTAAGATCCGTTATTATAATAAATATCGTGACACATACGAAATGAACTAAAAATCGCGGGTTACTTACGTGAAAATAGGTACTGAAAAAACTTTATTAGTTTCTTCGTGGTAGGCTGCGCGACATCGCCGCGAACGCGTACGCTACTCATGAGGAAGAGCCCCCTGTGGTTCGAAACTAGTAATTAACTGGACTGCACGGTGGGCGCGGTGGCTGGGCAACTGGCTGCCGCGCAACGTGTCGCGGGTTCGATTTCCGCACGGAACAACTCTTTGTGTGATCTACAGATTGTTGTTCCGGATCTGGGTGTCATGTGTATGTGATATTGTATGTTTCTAAACGCACCCACGACACAGGAGAAAACCCTAGTGTGGCGCAACGTTAAAAAAAAAAATAGTAGACGTTTCTCAGTATACTCACGTGAGTAGCCCGCGATTATTAGTTGGTTTAAGTTGAGAGTTGTGACTGCTTTACTACCATCAAGCGTCAGAACTAGGAAATAGAGTGATGAAGTGCACTCGTACATTATTACACAAACGCCGCATAATTACATAATAATGCTTGTCAACAAATATTTATTTAAGTACCTAGTTATTAAGAAGAGAGTTATTTATGTATACTTACAAAGTATTTTAATGTTTAATAGTAACTAGGAGTATGGCTTATAAATGACAATTGATAAGGCAGTAGCACATGCTGCTCATAATTATGAGTCCCTTTTGTGCCTTGAAACTAGTTGAGCAACCGCCTTGGACATTAATCAATATTTATACAAGGACGTTGACAAAAGGGGGATATAATGTCACTTAGAAATGATATGTACAAAATGTCAGCGAGTTATTTATGTGTGCGTGTGTACTGGGTTACCACGTTACCAGACTTAAGAAAATGACAGATGTCCTTCTTGTCAATGTGTGTGTATTCTGCGTGTAAGTCTATAGTAGCCAGGTGCCACAGTCTTTGTTTCAAGAGCTGTGTTCGCCTTTTTTTCCACGTCTTTGTAATTATTTTAGTGAGTCTCACAAGAGGGAAGCCTTTGCCCTGCACTGGGTCGAGCATAGCTGGCAATAAATACATATAAATTATAAGTAAGACTGCCTCGTTGGCCGAGTGGTCGCAATTGCGACTGCCGGGAGAGGGGTCTCGCGTTTGATTCCCGGATCGGGCAAAGTATTACTGAGTTTTAAAAAAATCTCAGTAGTAGCACGGAGTCTGGAATTGTGCCCGGCATATGGCAATAGGCTCACCCCTTATTACATGGGACTCATGACATAAATAGTAAAAAGGGGGTGTTACATTGTCCAGTAGCATAATGGCGAATAAAAGGCGTGATGTTATGTAAATTATAAGTATTGTGAGGCTTATGGCTGTACAGACCTATGGTTCGGCTGATAATAAGCGCTCGCCATAACCTAACTACATCTGCAATGAGGTATTATGATAAAATATTCACCGGAGAGCCTCCAAAATAATATACAAAAATATTTAACAAACCAAAGCTTAAAATTTGTGATATTTAATATAGTTATTATTAAAGAATTTTAAACTTGACTTGGTTTAAAATTCTTAGACATATTTTTATAGATGCACAGTATTGTTAGATATAATCAATATAATTGAATTAAAATTAATACCAAATGTGTGCTTAAAATCAAAGATTATTATAGGAACTAAATTTTTTTTTTGTTTTACGTAAAAAGCAATCTTAGAGTGAATACTATTGTGTTATTAAATTTTTATTTTGATATTTTTTTAAATATATTACGCAATAAAATGTGCCTTGATTAAAAAATGTTTTTGATTTCTTACCCTGTATAAAATACTTCTAGCATAATAAAATGATATTACAATGAAAGGTTTGATTTTATAATAATGACATTACTTGACTGGCTTGTTGGACGTGCAAGTGGGACTGCTGGGCAAGGGGTCCCAGGCACTCCCGGGTCGGGCAAAGTATTACTGGTTTTTTTTTAAATCTCAGTAGTAGCGCAGTCTAGAATTGTGCCGGGTATATGGCAATAGGCTCGCCCCCTATTACATGGGACTAAACATAAATGGGTGTTACATTAGGTACACAGTGGCATTAAGTGCCGTAATGTGCACCTCTGCCTACCCCTTCGGGGATAAAAGGCGTATTGTTATGTTATGTATGTTATAGCATTTACTTGCTAGTTTTAGAAACGATTGCCTAAAAATAAAACTGCATTGATAATGTCATATGAAACTTATATTTATTTGTACAATATTTTCTTAAAATTATTTGGTCTAAATACTTATTACGTAATTATTATTCATTTATTCCTAAATGTATACTGGATAGGAAACGTATAAACTACCTATATTTAAATCTCACTAAAAAGTACTTACGTATGTCATAAGGTATACCTAAGATATTGCAATGAGGGTGTTCGCGCCGCTAGAGAGACTAGTATAGCTTACGGTCTATTGGCCAATAGAATATTTGCGAATTCCAAGTCATTAGTCAGTCAACTTGTGATTGGACTAATCAACTAATAGGACCTTACGCCCCTAGCGCCATCTTATATTCGCAAAAGAAAACTTATTGCTTTGAGCGAAAGTCGATTTGTCGTATACGATTTAATCGATACATCTGACAAATGATTCTATCACATAATTATTGCCTTAAAATGCAAATCCTAATTGTAGTTGTGGATTTTTGTCTCATTCGTCTCATTTTAAACATTTTAATAAAGAAATAATACATAGTGATAACTAATTATTGGATTGTTTAATCGTATTTCGATTTGGATACATAATATACCCTGTTTTTAAATCTAATTTAATCCCTATTCATATATTTCATTTGGTACTTTCAAAGCTCAATACAAATTATCACTAGCTTCTTTACTTACTACAACTCCTTCCTCTTTTATAATTAGTTTCATTTGCGCTTCAGGATCATTACTTTTCTTACCCTTAAAACTATCTTCTATATCCTGCAACGTCCTATCTTTAGTTTCAGGCAGTAAAACATACATTACACTTAGGAACACTGTTAAAATTGCAGAATAAACTAGGTACGCACCTTCTACACCCACAGAAGAATACAAATATGGTGCAGTTTTCATTGAAATCACAAAAGCAGGTGTCAAAAATGACGTGGAAAGTGTTGAACCTAAACTTCTATAAGCCAAGGGAAATACTTCACCACATATCACCCAATTCAATGCAGCAAGTCCTAAACAGAATGATAAAGTGTACAGAACCATTAACGCCATTGGTAAAACATCTAACATCCATGGCGCAGTAAAAACGCCAGCTCTTCTTAAATATACGAAGGTTGAAATAGATGTCATTGAGAGAACTGTCATGACACCACTTGAGAACAAAATAGTTCTTCGTTTGCAGCATTTCAATAGGAATATAGCTAAGAATGCACACACTGTCCTTAGTAAGTCTATCACTGTGAACTGCCACGCTACGTCTTGAGGGTTCTTCTTGTCCAAAACCACTTGAAGAATGATATTTCCGTAAGCTGCTACCATATGGGCTCCCCCAAATTCGAACACAATCAACATGCTTATAGCAATAATGGCAGGCTTGTAAAACTCTTTCTTCTTAAAAATCTTCACAACGGAACTGATCGACTCAACGATCTTCTTGAAAATGTTGTTACAAACGTGGGTTTCTGTGTAATCTGGCCTCTTTTCAGCTTTCTCCAGTTTTTGTGCGTTTATCATCGCTTCCAATTCTTCTTGCTGTGCGGGACCTTCGCCTCTGACCCATTTGAAGGCTTTTCGTGCTTCAGCATACTTGCTTTTGGAAACCAACCAGCATGGTGATTCTGGAGACAGACTTATAATAGCCATGGCAATGATTGGGAAGAGCGAGCAGACAGCTGCAGTTATCTTCCAGGTTAAATGGGCTCCCCACAAGTGAGAGAGGAAGATTCCCATTCCGAGGGAGATAGCAAATGTTCCCAAAAACGCGCCTCGATACTTCGGATCTGTGTATTCTGCGACTAGAATAGCTGCTAATGGTGTTCTAAGTCCTAAGGCAAGTCCATGTAGGAGTCTAGCGATTATGAACAGTGGCACGGAGTTTCCGAAGATGAAAACCAGCCAGCCTAGAAGGGCAGGAAGTGTGGAGAAGAGATGTGCGCGCTGACGTCCGAACTTGGTCATCAGGATGGGGGATATGAAGTTGCCCACGATGCCCATCGCGCCGACTGCAGACGCTGTAATAAGAAGAGAGTAATAGGTGAATAACTGGGTATACTGATAAGCGAGTACAATTTTTTCTTTCATTAAAACCCTAAACTGTAACTAACCACCTTTTTAGAAATTCAATTTTTGAAGTATGCTTCAAATTACTTTGCATTAGTTTTTAAGCATTTCAGTATAATTGAATAAAATATATTCGTAACCAGTTAAAAGTGTGACTGAAAGAGTTAAGAAGCAAGGCGAGGCCTGCACTTTGAGTTGAGTTACGGGACGCGCAAATCCACCCCCCAATTGCGCAATATCACCAAAAGCCAACAACGCAACTCTGGTGTTGCAGGTGTCCAAAGGTGGGCACCGATCGCTTACCATCAGGTGATCTGTGTGGTTAATTACCTCTTCTTATAAAAAATATAAGACGATCTTAACTTACCAATCCATGATGTGTCATGGTCTGTCAGCGTGACAGGCCCACCGTCCCTGGTTAACTGCGCGAACAATACAGCAGGATAGCCGTGCGCACATCCATGTCCAGCTATGTTCAACGCCGCACCGCTCACCACGAATGCCTGAAACGCAATGTACAGCAAATAAGTTTTGTGTTATACTTAAAAGACAGATGAAGTAATTTAATCTTTGTGCCTTTTAGGAGTACAGAAGTCGGTATTGGCGTACATTAACTACTTAATGGCAGTTTTCAGTTTCCCCAAACACCTCTAAACCATCTCTAAACTATGAGTTAGAGATCTAAATTAAGAGTTAGAGCCTGAGCACCTTAACTAACCACTTACCTTTGCCATAATGCCATTAGGTGTGTAAGGTTATTTTGTTTATTCCTAAAAATGATATATATTTAATTAAAAAAAACTGAGATAAATTGAATCAGGCAACACTTTTAACATGACAACATCAAAAAAAAAAAGAAAGCGGTTTTTGGTTTTATAGCGGGAGACGCGAAAAAACGGCGTTTATGGCGGCAATTTTGGTGGGACGAAAAAAAGGTGGATGGACGTTGAGAAGTATTGATGAAATACAGAGTGTGAACATACGCATAAGTTTTATTGGTTTTATTGAATACCTCTGTAACATCTATCTTACCGGTTCCTTAAATTTTAAATGAGGTCGGGGAGAACGAATGTGGTACCTGTTTATGGCCCATTTAAAGATAAATTAAGTTATAGTAACACACACTTTTCGTTTTTTGATCAGAGGCCTTAGTAGGAGTTTGTTTAACGTTTAAAGTAATCGTAACGACAACGTTCGGCGTCTGATTGGTCGGCTCCAATGAACCAACAATCCGAGCACCGAATGCGGTCTCCTTTCGATTACTTTTACAGTAAAACAAACCTCTACTAAGTAAGCCCTCTGAATATCATGTAGATGTAGCTCTAAATTGAAGATACGAAAAGGAATAGGATAAGAAGAGCATTGTAGAAGAATTATTTAAGTAGACACAGTCAGAACCATAAGTTGATGAACAGAATCAACATAACAAATCACCTGTTCACAATAAAATGCCCCAATACATAGATACTTTTGAAATACCTAGTCGTGTTTAACGATTTTTGTAAATTTCTGGTGTACTTACAGGCTATTTTGTTTCCTAGTTGCGACTGTAACTTGTGGCATTTTATTGTGAAAACAAAAGAAACGCGAATGGCGAAAGTTAAACAGTGAAATATGAACAGGTGGTTTGTTAAGTTGATTCTGTACATTGACTTTTGGTGCTGACTGTACTTGAGTATTTACCTGCTTTATAAAAGGCTTCATCGCACTGTGGCTTCATGCAGGAGATAAAATCTGGAAAAACATAAACGTAAAGATAAGTAAAACATTTGGTACTTATTTGCTTGCGGTTAATGCAATAGTTAAGTATGAGTAAGGCCAAACAGCTTGAAAAACCAGTAATAACTAAGTGATAAGTCTAACACGTTTAGTTTCTTGAAAAGAAGAAAGAACTGAGTGGTTTTTAGTCAGTAAGAGTCTAACACTCCCTCTCGGTTCACCCAACGCGGGAGAAGTCATTGCATGATCATCTCCCTTCAAAAAAAAAAAATGTAAGTTGGCGTATTTTGGTTATTCGTTTTTCTTCTATACAAATAGTAAATAGTATTGTAAATTAAGTGCTTATTTGTTTAAATATTATTAGAAGTGGTAACCCTCAAACTATTTGTCCGTCTAGACGGGAAAGACCCTCTCGCTCTTGGTCGCTGACAAAAATCACAAATGCTTACGAAGGCCTTGCCTATAATATTTGTTGACCTGTCTGCGATGTTGCCTCATCTTACCTAGCCTCTATCAACACAATCAAAGTCAAATCGTTATGTTTAACATCATGCCTTTTACCCTGAAGGAGTAGGCAGAGGTGCACATTACGACACTTAATGCCACAGTACAATGTAACATCACTTTTCACTATTTATGTAATGAGTTCCATGTAATAAGAGGTTAGCCTATTGCTATACCGGGCACAATTCCACACTCCGTGCTACTACTGAGATTTTTTTATAAATCCCAGTGTCGCGCAGCTTACTGACATCGCCGCAATCGCGCTCGCTACTCACGAGGAAGAACCCCTCTGTGGTTCGAAACTAGTATAGCTTTTTTCAGTATATTCACGTCAGTAACCTGCGAGTTTTAGTTTAGTCTATGTCTCACGATAGTTATGATAAAAACCGAGACTCCTTGCTTGGCAGTTGCACTTGCGAACTACGAGGCAGTTTAGGTACCTACCTAAATGAGTATTGTTTTTTATACTGTATGTAACACTTACTATATTGTTACCTATAATACTCATGGCCTTGATAGTTTTCCAGAACATTTCCGTAGTTTTTTCCGTGAATATTTTGAATCATTTTACATGATCGTGATTTTTGCTCTAGTTACTTTTTTTTGTGAGTAAAGCTTTAGGTGCTTATGTCACGATCTCCTTTGGAACATGTTTATTGTTTTCCTGTTCTTTTTTTTCTATTTTTTCGTGTATTGTGAACTTTTTAGTTAATGTAACTAAATTATCTTGTTTGACGATTTATCAACAAAGAATGTAGGTATCTTACACTTATATCTACAATACCACACACCTAGTTATAATATAATTACAAATAATTAAATGAACAGAATATTTTAACAATAAAGTATATCCTTCATCTGATATATCATAATGAATTTTATGACTTAAATGTTATTAATAAATAAACCTTAGTTTTACAGGAAGCATGTTTGAGACAATAAAATATGAACCAATAAGAAAATGTTAATCACCTATTTGTGGGTAAGAACTCGCTGAAAGACACTAGTAAGTAGTAACTTATAAAGTCGGAAGTCCTAGCTATTAAGGTATACTTAACTTATATTAACTTCTTAATGTCCGATTATGAAAAATCCACATTTGTTCATAAAAAAGTAGTCTCTAAACATGGGAAATAAGGTCTATAATGGTGTTGTATCTCGACCAGTGGCCCATTACCGACGAAACCCTATACGTGACAAAGACAATGGCCAATCAGGTAAAGAGTTAAGAATCAGTAATTATTTAATTGTTTATGTATGCGTCTGCGCAACGCAACGGCAAAACGGAGATCGTGACAGACTAAAAATATATTCGTCGTTAAGATAGCAGCTAGGCTTTATAGGTAGGTAGGTTTTCTACCTAGGTATAAAGGAACCGATCTTGTTACTAAGCTTTTTGTTATTTTGTAGTAGGTATCAACTGTCAGGACAATAAAACTAGTAACTTTGTAGCTTTATATTGAACGACTATATACTTCCGCGGTTTCATCCGTTCTGCTCAGCGCCTATGATCATAGCGTGATGTTTTATAGCCTATAGCCTTCCTCGATAAATGCACTTATCATAACAAAAAGAATTTTTCAAATCGGACCAGAAGTTCCTGAGATTAACGCGTTCAAACAAACAAAATTCTTCAGCTTTATATATTTTTTATATGCATATTTGCTAAGCCGACGTTTAACCTCTATCTCGCCTGGTGGTAAGCGATGATGAGGTCTACGATGGAGCACGACGTCCCATATACATCCTATTCACTCGGGCCTTGAACACACCCAGGTTTCAGGAAATACATAGGTATAGGTATAAGTACTTCATTTCAATCTGTCTCCTGCAGTCATTCACCGAGGGAAGTGAAAATTGTAGTGTTTTTCAGTTATTCATGTCCCTGGGACGCGCCGGACTGCAATGGACTACTACTGTAGATCCTGGCTTACAGGAGTTGCAATGATTTTGGGAGGTTGTAGCGGGCTTGTCCCAAAAAAGGGACTAATATCAAAAATGAATCTTAATCTAAAGACTTTAGATTGAGATCGGTTATTTTTATCAGACACTCCCTCAAGCCTCACCCAAAGGCGGGGGAAGTCAATTACCCCCCTCAATAAAAACGTACTACGGTTTCTAATTATTTATAAATAGGTATGATAGTGATTGTCATGTTTTGCAAGTTCACTTGTGTATACTATAATATTAATTGCCACCGACAATAAAGACACAATGGGTGGAGAACATTGAATGGTGGTATTACGAAATCATAGCAATTAAATACAATTGTTTGTTTTGTTATTGTTAAGTTAGCAGTCTATGTCCAGCAGGGGATGGACACGGACTAATGAAGATGATTATTCTGGAATATATGTACATCCGAAGTTAAGGTTCTCTTTGAGTAGCCGACCCTAGCTGATTCAGAAACATAATGAATTAATGACAAAACTAATATTCAGCAGATGACCTTTTTTTAATGGGGGAAAATTATCGAATGATTTCTCCCGCCTGAGTGAGGCGGGAGGGAGTGTCAGACTGTTACTGACTAAAAACCACCCCGTTCCTGCCCCTGCGCTTCGAGACGAATCTCTGAAAACTTGTTAAGTTCTCCGCGGCTCCGTATCGGCATCAGCCCTATTGGACCCCATTTATGGTGGTCTGATGGCTCTTTGAGGCGCGCGCCGCACGCGACACGCCGTTCGACGGATCTGGTTTTGGTTGGGTGGCGAGCTACCCGTGCTCGCCGTCCGCAGGCCCGTGCAGCAGATGACCTTGCTGGCTACCGGGGCACCATTTCAAAGCAGGAGTAGGAACAAGGAGGTTCTTATAGTCGGTCCTTCACGCATCACCCAAAGCAAGAGGAGAAATTAAATAATTTCACTAATATTATAACACTGAAGAGTTTGTTTGTTTTTGGAACAACAACAAGCATTTTTATCCTCTATATTCAACCTTATGAATGACCTGTACTATAGTATAGCTAGCCTTAACACTTAGCATATAACTACGTAGATAGGTACATAATCGTGCAGCTATCAATTAGGTATTTAATTAACAAACGCATAATTATACAGCTTTTGTTGTCAATGATGATTCACCGATTAGCGAGTTCTGAGTACAAGTTAATCTGAAGATTTTATTTATAGTTAAACGCATAATACGATTTTAGCTCTCGGTAGAGTCGGATGAATAAAGTCAAGGATAGGTACACTAGACAGGACATTCGAGCTAAGCTGGCCGATATCGCCTGACAATACAGTGACAATTTTTTTTATGGCATGAGCCGGTGAACGGGCAGACGGATCACCTCATGGTAAGCAATCGGCGTCGCCCATGGACACCTGGAACCCCAGAGAGGCGTTACAAGTGCGTTACCCGCCTTTTGGGGATTAGGAGTTTGAGCAAGTTTGAGGATCGTTGGGGATTCAGGGATTGGGGAGATTGGGGAAGGGGGTAATTGGGCCTCCGGTAACCTCACTCACACGACGAAACACAACGCAAGTGTTGGTTCACGTCGGTTTTCTGTGAGGCCGTGGTTTCACTCCGGTCGAGCAGGTCCGGTGTTGCCAGACATGTCGATTAAAGTCCAGCAACGTCGCCCTACTTCACCCGACATCATTGGCGACACGTGTCCCAAGACATTTTATCTTCTAGTGTATCATTTTCTGGGCTAATTGAGATTTTCTGTTTGCATGAAGTCCAGCATCGTGTTTAGTTTATGGTATATTAAAAATAGTGCTTTGGTATTTTCAACCTTTAATGAAACTCACAGAGTGCACTTTTGCAATAACATTGGGACTAAAGTCCCTTAATTCAGTATTATAAACAAGACAGTTAGTTATAAATATGAAGTCGGTTAAAAATAGTCCAAAAAGTGTGTTAAACAAGTTACTTATAGTGTTAACGAACTCATTATGCTTACTGAGGACCTATTACGAGTCTTTTTAACGTTAATCAGTTCAAAATGTTAGCGCGTTTAGTCGTCTGATTGGTTGGTTTAATTGGAGCAGGCCAATCAGAATGTCGAACGTCATAAACGTGTCGATTGTGTTGTCGTAAAACAAACTCGGACTAGGCCGTTTCGTAGACATAGGAACGCGGTTTTGACATTCACCTTACAGCGCTCAGTCAAGGTTTTCTTCAAGAAATATAATATTTTATGAACGTATACGAACGAATAGGTACTCGACAATTACAAATTTACTACAAGATTCTTTGATAAGTACAGTTTTTTTTCTTATTTTATTAATTAATAACAACTTCCTCGTTAATTTTGTAGTTTTATAACTGTTAAGGTATGAGTGTTGAGTCAGACTACACGATACGGGCAAACGAGTATACGGATTGCCTAATGGTAAGCGACTAGGGCTGCCCATAGACAATCGCAACCTCAGAGGAATTATCGACACATTGCCAGCCTACAAGATTGCTGAAGAGCTAATTTAGAGGTACCTAACCTAACCTGCGTACCTAAAATATTAGGCATTTTATGTGTTTCCAGTTAAATATGGTTAATACGCAGTGTCATT